ATGGCTATCGTGAATATGCATTTTCCACATTAGGTGTCAGTACTTGGAAAACTTGTGTAGCTCAGTCAATCAATCTTTTATAAATGATCAATGTGCGATGCTACAAATCAACCATGGGTAAAAGATCGATGATGTAAAGTAGAGGAATCAATTTTAGTGTAATAGAGTATGAAGTTAGTAACATATGTACCTTTTCAGATTCCACATTTTAACTAACTTCTGAGAAACGATCACTGCTGGGTTTTGGAATAGTATAAAAGAAGAATATCCACTATTATCTGAAAAGATTACTGAAGTATTCCTCCCTTTTCTTCATACATATCTGTATGAAGATGGATTTTCTTAAAATACTTCCACTAAAAAAATTGCAACAGATGGAATGCAGAAGCAGACATGACGTTCGTTCCAGCTGTCTTCTATTAAGTTACACATTAAAGAGAGTTGCAAAAATATGAAACTCTACCATTTTGTCGCTAGTTTTCTTGCTTTGAAAAATCTCATTTTGCTCTCTGGTTAAAAGAAAAAAGAAAAATGTCATTTTTGGGGTAAAAGGAATGGGATTTGTATTAAACATGCAATGGAATTATAATTATTTTAAAGTGACTTAGTAAATGAATATTTTTAAAATTCTCAATAATCATTTCTAATCTAATACACTAAAAGCACTTAACAAAAAGCTCTGTGGAGTCCTGTAATTTTTAAGGATACTTTTAAGAATATACAGGCGCCCTGGTGGCAAAGTGGGTTCTGTGGCGGACTGCTAGTGCCAGGTCGGCAGTTTGAAACCACCAGCCACTTCACAGGAGAAAGATGAGGCTTTCTCCTCCTGCACGCAATTAGAGTCTTAGAAACCCAAGGAGGTCTCTTCTATCCTACAGGGTCACAATGAGTTGGAATCAACTCAATGGCAGTTTTTCTTGAGACCGAAAATTTCAGAACTGCATGTTCGTTCTTTCGTTCCTTCGTTCGCTCGCTCGCTCGCTCCCTCCCTCACTCACTCATTTACTGTCACTGAGTTAATTCTGACTCACAGAGACTCTATTGGACAGAGCAGAACTTCCCCTATGGGTTTCTGAGACTGTAACTCTTTATGGGTGTTACCTCGGAGCGGATGGTGGATTGAACTGCGGATCAATGTATACAACCCACTCTGCCACCAGGGCACAGTAATTAAAATGCTTCACAAAAAATGAATTCAATCTAATATAAATGAACTACCCTATACCCTAAGAACTCTGTAATAATATTCTACAGATATGAGTAGGAAATGGGTTGGATAGGAGATCTGAAAGTTAAAGAAACGGACAAGTACCTGAATTACAGTCAGTGAAAAGTGAAGCCCTCTTCTTTATCAAGCCAACAGAAGAGATGGCTATGTCCATGTGCAGGGGAGTAGGAAGGAGGGGTTCTACAATGCAGCATTTAGGAACACAAACTCTGGCGTCTGGTGGACCCAGGTTAAGATCTTGGCTCTACCACCTCCGAGCTGGAAGGCCTTGGATAAATTAGTCAATCTCTCTAGGCCTTAGTCTCCATGCTCATTCTTCCAGATAAAGTCACAGAATTGCAGGATACTCCTGGGATGAAAAGTATCACTACCATGGGGCTTCCAGGCCAATCTTGGCAGTCAACCCTAGCCTCTAGGGAAGCATGGTTTGGGGGGATGGGGCAATGAGAGGAAGGGAACTTTTTCATGCAAAGCAAGGCATATCAGAAGCCCATTTTCATTTTCTGAGCTAGGGAACAATCAGTGTCAGTTTTTGGCTAGAGCCTATAGATTAATCAGGGACCATTCAATAGCAAAGTGTTAGCGGCTATAAGGTGCTCATTAACTTGTACAGTGATAGCTCTCCAGCCAGTATAGGAGGCCCATTGATAACAAAGCTGCAATTAGAATGCCCCCTTCCCTCCAAGAGGCTGACCCAGGAGAAAGGTAAGTCTAAGTGAGACAGAAAAAGCCCCAGGCCATGAAGAAGGCCCAGAGGGTTCAATACCCCGTGGGTTTGTCCAACAAATATCCGAATGTTAGCCATGGGCAGAGGAAGACCTTGACTTACCTAAGAGAGGAGATGAGATGAATATAGATACATATAACACCAGCGAGAGTTAAAACAACTCATAAAGAGGTAAATATAAAAGACAGTGGAAGGATGAAACAAACATTTCCAATTGAGTGTGAAAGTGGGGTGGGATCTATAAAGGTTTGCCAAGGGAAGGCTATGAAGAATCAGTACAATGTGGACAATCAGAGGTGGAAAAATGGAGCATTTCAGAGAGGATGCTTTTGGAGCACAGAGTAGAAAACAAAGACCATGTATGAGGAAACATGGAGCGGTTCATTGTGGCTTACCTCTCTGGGGGCTGGGGGCTGAGAGGGCGTGATAAAAGAAATAGTGAGAAGAAGGGTGGTACAGTATTGGAGGAGGAAAGGATTGCTCTGGAGTCCCTGCTAAAGAGTGGAACTTACTGCCTTGGGCATAGTGTTTGTTCGTTTGTTCATTTATTTACATGGTGCTCTTTTAAATAACTAGCTGCAAACATACAAAGAACTCAGTACCATCGAGTTGATTCCAACTCACAGTGATCCCTAAGTCAGGGCAGAAATGCCTATGGGTTTCCAAGACTGTAACTCTTTGCAGTAGAAAGTCCTGTCTTTCTCGCACAAAGTAGCTGGTGCTTTCGAACTGCTGACCTTCTAGTTAGCAGTCTAATGGGTAACCACTCTGCCACCAGGACTGACTCCTCCAAAACAAACAAACAAACAAACAAACAAACAACAACAAAACCCAAACTCACTGCCATCAAATCCATTTGGACTCCTGGCATCCCTATGGGACATTGAGTAGCACTGCCCCTTGTGGTTTCTGAAACTACAACGCTTGGGGGGCGGGGGCCTATGTCTCCTCTGCAGAGTGGCTTTGCATGGCTGACTTTGTACTGAACAGCTCAGTGTGCGACCTGCGATGCCACCCAGGGTCCTGTAGGTCAAATTGACAAGAGCAACTTGAAAGGTAGGAAGTTTAAGGGGCAATGTGCTCACACCGATGGGGGAGAAACAATTTGGAAAAAATAGGTTATACAACTTCAAGAATGTCATCAATATCCTGAATTATAGAAATCGCTGGATCAGTGTACAGTTTGCTGTGTATATTTTTCAACAAATATTTAATAGTAAACAAAATGAATCTGACCAGGGGAATTTACTCCCCCATGCTTCTTAATAACTATTCTAACCAGCCATATTTTCTTCAAATACCATACCCAGCCTCTCATTCCTTTCAATAAGATTCTTAATTTGCTACATTATTGAAAGAGTAGACACTATCAGATGTCATCTTCCTCAACTTCCTGCTTTCTATTTACAAAGTTATTCACTCCCACTCTATTTTATCCTGAGGTTTTAGGGGAGAAGATGCACCTTCCTGTTAAGAGACTATTGTCACATCTTCTGAGATTGTGCCCTATCCCACCCTCCTTTTGTTGGCACCCCACCCCCAGATTAGAAGGATGCTTCCTTTTGCCCAGTCTCTAAAAAAGCTTGAACAAAAGGTCTGTAGTCCCTGCCTCCCCATCCCATTGAATAGGGTATCCAGTCTCTCTTGGTCTGAATTGTCTCTCTTTAGAGCCATCAGTGACTTGGATATTGTCAATCTCACCAGTCATTTCCAACTCTCACTTCACCAAGTATCTCTGTTAAATTTCAGGACAGTGACGACTCCCTTTCCTTCCCCGACCTTCCCACTCTCTTCTTTACGCAGCGCTCTTGGCTCTGCTGGCACCTCTTAGCTGTTCACGTACTTGCTTTCATGACCTGCATCTTCTGGGCCTACTACTGTTCTTTCCCCTGACACATTCTCCCGGGGGGACTCTCATCAGTTGCAAGCACACCTTTTTGGCTCATGACCTCTTCCTCGAACTATCATTTGACTCTCTGGGTGTCCAGGAAGGAGTCCTGATGGCGTAGTGAGTCACTCATTTAGCTACTAACTGCCAGGCCAACCGTTTGCACCCATCAGCCGCTCCAAGGGAGAAAGATGAGACTTTCTATTCCCGTAAAGAGTTAAAGTCTTGGGAGCCCAAACGGGCAGCTTTACTCTGTGTCCTAAAGCCTTGCGGTGGGTTTGGACCCGGTGGCAGTGAGTTTAGATTTGAGTTTGGTGAGCCGGAAGGACCTCTCTACTTGGTTATCGACAAATAATTCAAACTTAACATGTGCAAATTGGAACATCCTTTCCTCCTAAGCCTGGGATGGGCCTTTCTCCTTCTGCCTTATTGTTTCTACTCTAGTAGCCATCTGCATTACTTAATTCCTGTTCCTACTTTAAACTTTAATTCAAAATTTACTTTCTACAGAAAATCTCTGCCAACCCTCTGGGCTGGGACAGACCTCTGCTCTTCAACACACCCCCATTATTATCTCTTTATGGACTAATGCTTTTAATGCTGTGATAGTAAGAATTTTTTTAATGTACCTGTCTGCCCCACTATACTCTAAGCTGTCTAGGAGGAACCAGGAGCCTTGCTTGCATAGTGGTTTACATGTTGGGCTGCTAAACACAGTCTCTAGGTCAAAACCACCAGTCTCTCAGCAAGAGATGAGGCTTTCTACTCCGTAAAGACGTACAGACTTAGACACGCACACGGGCAGTTCTACCCTGTGTTATAGGGGGTCATCATGCATTGGAATCAATTCAAAGACAGGATCTGAGTTAGTTCAGAGGTCAGGAGCAGTATTTTCACAACCTTTTAATCTCTAGGACCTAGTACAATCCGTAGTATGTGGTAGGCACTCCAGAAATGCTTGCTAAATGAATACTGAGCGCCGTTTCAGGAAGTGATTAGTCAATGGCATATGAGACACAAAGGAGAGGGAGAACTATCAGAGGAAATGAAATTGCAGTGACCAACTGCAGCAAAATAAAAATAACACAGAAGCCTGACCCACGTTGGGAGTAAAAGGAACGGAAAGGAAGGGATGCTCATGAGAGGTCTTGTTGAGGTGAAATCAGAAGCCTGGACTGGCTGACGAGAGACACAGGACAGAGGCACAACGAGTCATCACCAAGAAAAACAAGAGACGCTGGATACCCTGACATCCAGTCTCAAACTCACTGTCAACGGGCCAATGCTGACTTATCGTGTCCCTCTGGGGGTTTCTGAGACAGTAACTATTTATGGGAGTAGAAAGCCCAGTGTTTCTCCCACAGAGCTGCTGGTGGTTTTGAACTGCCAACCATGTGATCGCAGCTCAAAGTTTAACCGCATCACCAGGGCTCCATGTCATCAAAGTAGCTGTGATCTATTCCACACCTGGATCAATAAGCGCTTTAGCATTTCTTTACAAGGGGGAATTATATAGTCTAAGAATTCGACTTTAGTGGCATTTTTTGAGACCTAAGAATTCTTATTATTATTATGAGATAAAATTTAGAGAAATAAAATGTTTAATAAGTTATCTCCCTTCTCTTTCTCTTAGTTTCCTTACTCATCAAAGCTGGGTAAGACTGAGGTTTTCAATACACTTTAGGCTAATTTATCAGCACGACACTGTATAGCTTGAATAATTCTAAACTTGCCATGTTCAAATAAGGTAACTAAAGAGTTTTATGGCTCCCTCTCCCCCACTTTTTAACCTAAGTTTATATGCAAATCTTAAACAGAGGTGTTTGAGCTCAATCCTGATTTTCAGATGCTAAGAAGAGGAAGGTTCTGCTTGGTGATTTAGAACATGGTGACCCCTGCTGTGACACCAACGCTGGTCACACTGCCCCCTCCCGAGGGACGAGGGACGACAGTGCTGAGAGGTAGGGTTGGGAGTGTGGGAGTGGCTCCGGAGAATGGCAGGCCAAAAGGGAATTCAAGGCTCAAGTAGGATTAGGGAAACCTGAAATGATTAAGCTTATCTGACCCAATGCAGGAAGGGCTTACCTGATTCATGATGGAAAACTTTCTCCCTATTCTGTTGTCTGGCAGCCGAATGCCTTTTCTCCTCATACCGTCTTCGGACTCTGATTTAAACACCTTCTCAGGATCCCCTTTCTCCACTCCTTCAGAGAGCTCCTTCTGTCTCTTCTTCTTTCTCCTATTGCGTCTTTCCTTGGCACTCTTTGAACTGAGCTTCGAAATTTCAGAGGAGCTCCGGGGAGAGCCCACCCCGTCTTCGCCTTCTTCCTCTATGGCGTCTTCTGAGACGGTGCCCGCTGAGGTCGCCATGGCTGCAGCCTACAAAGGGGGCACAGCAGCAAGCAGTTCAAAGGCAGCTCACTGGACCCGCCCCAGTAAGTGCAGACCAGCTCTTTCCCACAGGCAGATAC